AACCAAGCTCTGGGAGATTGTTTTAAACCATAAAGAGACTTTCTCAACTTGCACACCTTATTTTCACTTCCCTTGGCACAGAATCCAGGGGGTTGAACCATGTATACTTCCTCTTCTAAGTCACCATTCAAAAAATCATTCCTTATGTCCAGTTGATGCAATTCCCAATCAAAATTAGTAGCTAATGACAGGAGAACCCTAATTGAGTTCATCTTAGCTACTGGAGCAAAAGTCTCATCATAGTCAACCCCGTACACTTGAGTGTACCCTTTGGCTACTAATCTTGCTTTGTACCTTTCAACTGTTCCGTCTGCCTTGTGTTTAACTGTAAACACCCACTTACACCTCACGGGGTCTTTCCCCTTTGGAAGATCCACCAATTCCCAAGTTTGATTTTTATGAAGGGCATTAATCTCTTCCTTCATGGCATCTGTCCATTCGGGGCATTTTAAGGCTTCTACAACATTTCTGGGAACAATGATGCAATCAACTGCAGATAGAAAGACTCGATATGAGGAGAAAATGTGATCATAGCAGACAAATTGGGTAATGGGGTGTTTGGTAGTGCATGACCTGACTTCCTTTCTTTGAGCAATAGTAATGTCAAGGTCATCCACAGTAGTAGGGGTATCAATAGGTGCAACAGGGATTGGACTTACCTCCTGGGAGTCTAACGGTGTCAGTTGCTCAATGTTTGGCCACTCCACATCTCTATCACATTGCTGATCTCTACGACGTGTACGTTGGAAGACACGAAAGGGAGCAAGGTCCGGAATAGAAGGAAGAGAGACTTGGCGGACCTAAACCTGCTTCTCCTCTTCCACACTACTACTCTCCCCCTGAGGAGAAGCAGGGAAGAATGGCTCAGACTCAAAGGACACATCCATAGACTCAAAAAACTTATGACTAACGGGATCAAAGCACCGATACCCTTTTTGAGAGGAGGGATACCCCCGAAAGATACAAAGAATGGACCGAGGGTCTAACTTACCTCGAGACAGAGACAAATCATGGACAAAGGCACGACAACCAAAAACTCTCATGGTAATGGAAAATAAAGGGAACTGAGGGAACAACAACTGATGAGGGGCCCTGTAGTTCAGCACTTTGGAGGGCATGCAATTGATGACATAAGCAGCTGCAAGTATAGCATCCATCCAAAACATTTTTGGAACATTCATGTGTAACATCATCCCGCGAGCTACCTCAAGGAGGTGTCTGTTTTTTCTTTCTACAACACCATTTTGTTGTGGTGTTCTGGCGCATGAGCTCCTACGAATAGATCCGTGGGAGGCAAAGAACTCATTGAGCTCACCATGGAAGTATTCTTTTGCATTGTCGGATTGGAAGATCTGTATTTCAACATGGAACTGCGTAAATACCATCCTCTGGAAGTCTTTCACAATCTTTGGAGCTTCGTCTCTACTACGCATAGGGAATACCCATGTATAGTGAGAGTAGTCATCAATCAATGTGATAAAGTACTTATATCCGCCCTCAGAGATTACAATAGTAGGCACCCATACATCAGAATACACAACATGAAAAGGAACACTTGATCTTTTATTATTTGAGTGAAAAGTTGTTCTACATTGTTTGCTCAACTGACACGTTTGACACTGGAACTCTRACACTGAACATGACTTAAATAAAACCGGAAACAAAGACTTTACTATTTCAAAAGAAACATGACCTAACCGACTATGCCACAAAAAAAATTGACTCTTATTTGACTGAATATGTGAATCTGAGGATGACACCGAGAGACCAGTTTTGTTGTCGATAATGTAGAGACCATCCACTAGGCTCCCTCTACCAATCATCCTCTCAGAAGTTAGGTCCTGAAAAACACATGAGCCAAGAAAAAAGGTTACACTGCAGTTTAAAGAGCTTGTGATACTACTAATTGAAAAAAAATTTATAGGAAGTTGAGGGACATGCAACACACAATTCAGGTTAAGGCCATGGGGAAGAGATATTGATCCTTGGCCTGCAATGGAGGAGAATGAACCATCTGCAATCCTCACTTTGTCCCTTCCTGACAAAAGGCTATAAGTCTGAAACAAGTTCAGCTTACCGGTCATGTGGTTAGAGGCCCCTGAGTCAATGATCCAAGGGGAACCGGTGGGAGTGCCATGAAATGCAAAAGTCGTATTACCTAATGTAGATGCAAATGAAGTAGAGGGAGTACTAGTGACTGAGCTATCCATCTGTCGCAAAGCCCTACCATAAGACTCCAAGTGGTCTCTGAAGGAATTCATTAAATCTTCCTTGGGGTCAGAATTATTAAGGTGGTCCCGATTAGTACTGGCAACCTAAGTATCTTGGGTTGCCACATGTACTGCATTATGTGATGTGTTCATCTTCTTCTAACCTTGCCCTTTACCCTGTTCTTGGTTCTTCACTACCCACTTGGGTTTCCCGTGAATGTCCCAACATGTGTCACGTGTATG